GATTGTATTTTATTTTTCATTATTCACAAAACACAAGAAACTTTTAACAATTTAGCTACACCGTCTGTACCAAGGCTTTAATACTGTAAATAAAACAAATTATTTTGTCCCTAAATGGTGTCACAGCTCAAATAAATATTAATAAATAGAAGGTTCTTGTTAACCCGATCATTTAATTTTTTTCTAAATTCTGACATTCTTTGTATTTTCTTTTTCTAAGAGTGTTTGATTGGACATGAAATGTTTTGTTCAGCAGCATTTAAAAGGAGGTTTGAGAAGATGAGAACAAAAAAAAAAAAATAAAAATCCACAGATGAATAATTTCCTAAAAGCTTTATTAAACTTTTTGCACATTTTTATGTGAGATAATTATTTCTACTGTCAAGATATAATTATCTTTCAACTATATAATATGATATTCTAATTCTGAGGACAAACACAAAAACACTGAATAGTGTTGATAATTTTCCTGAGGAGGTTCCATAAAACAACTGGATCTGCATGGTTCCCTTGATTGACAGATGAAGTCATCCTGCTGGAAAGTGTCATTATGAAATAAATAAGCCGTTATGAAAAACACCATTATGAAACAAATACGCTATCATGAGAAACACATTTATGAAATAAAAGAATAAAAATAAAAAATAAAAAAGTCTTATTTCATAATGTATTATTTATTTAATAAATTTTGACCATGTTCGTGTTTCATACATTAGTTCCTCTCTTGCAGCAGCATCGTGTGGTCGGTAGGTGGCGGTATTGCAGGAATGGTTGTTGAGAGCGGAGGTGAAAAGCGAAGAAGAAGAAACGCGGCAGTGGCGTAGTCAACATGGCGTTCAATTTTGGCGGCGCTGTGGGTAACGCAGCAGCAAGTAAGGGCAAAATTCACTTGTATCCTGTATTTTCAGCAGAGCAGTAGAAATGTTAGACTTAAATCATAATATGGACGTTAATGTGAAATGACGGCGTTCATAACAGCTAAAACAGCTGTGCTGCTAATGTCGAGCTAAAACGAGATCAATCAGTGGTGCTTCCACAGCTTTTCTTTTAAAATTATAGATTAATTAGTCATATATTTGATTACTAATTTCATTCATTGTGCACATTTTCAGTTTAAACTTTACCTAGCACCATAACTGAGTTTCCTAATGACCTGACTTATAGTGTAAACATTCACAGCGTCTTTTTGTGTTGTTGTGTAGACACGTCCGGGTTTTCGTTTGCCTCATTTGGTGCCAAGACAACAGCACCAGCAACGTTTGGTTTCAACCCGACAGCCACCACCACCACCGCCTCTTCAGGGTTCGGCAGTAAGTCCCACTTCTGATCCAAACTCATCTGCCCTAAAACTGGATTGCTGCTAATGGAAGTTCATGTTTCAAATAGCGTCGTTGTTACTAGTCCTGGCAAACATTTAAACACCCACAAATACAGATGTGTTCACACACAGACTTGGATACGTTTGTTGATACGTTTTCACAATAATCAAAAGAACACCAAGTATGTGAGTGACAAAAAAGCTCCAGTTTTGTCTCATCGGTCCCTGAACTTTGGGGCTTGTCAACAGGAAAATTCCTGTTTGGCTTTTTTGTGGGAGGATTTTGTCAATGGTGGAACCCTCCTGAGTCTGGTCTCTTTGGATCTTACTGCCATCTGCAATAGCCACCTGCTAACTGGGGTTACATTTATTTTTTTTCTTCCACATCCTGAGAGGTGGGGTATAGTCCCATGAATCTTGTACTTTTTATTAATCTGCTTCTGAGGCAGCTGTGGCTGTGTGGTTAGAGCAGCCATCAAGGCACAGATTGTGTTGTAAAGCGTTTTGAGTATCTTGATTAGATAGAAAGGTATCTAAGTACAGTCCGTTTCCCATTAATCGTGTCAGCTGTGGTCAGAGGAGCATGAATCTGGAGATGATGGAGATCGACGATCTTGTTTCTGAGCTCCTAAGACGGCTCTCACCTTTGTTTTTTGTGCTGCTCCATGTTCAGTGTGATGCACGCAATCATGCCAAATGACCCAGTTTGTTCCCTTTAAACCGGGTGTCCGTGCATCTTTATAAAGACAAATTTGTGTATCTAAATTTAAGGTCTTCAGTTTGTTTAAAAAATTGTAAGTTGGTCTTAAATGTGTTACTCAAGGGTTTTAAAATTTGTGTGGGCAGGACTTTTCTCATTTATGTTCCATAAACAGACAAAAACTAAACTTGAATGTGTCTTATTGAGTGACACACATGGTATGCTTTTTACACTAAAGGCAGGCTGATATACATCAGACAATTGCTTTTAACTATCACTTTTCACAAAAAATGAAGCAATAAGCTGTAAGGCTAACAACAAATGTATCTTTACGTGTCTTAACAACTTGTTTGTTTTCTGTTTGTCTGACAAAAGCTTTAACAGCTCCTAGTTTCGGAGCAGCCACAACCACCTCTGCACCAGCCACTGGGTTTAGTTTTGGCTCCACCAACACCGGTAAGATGCACGTTAGTTTTAAAGCATATAACATTTGCAGTGTTTTTTGATCTTCTTTTTTATTTATTTTATTTATTTTAAGACGCTTGAAGGCTCTTTAAAAATAATGAGTCAATGCTAGGTCAGCTTTGTGTCATTTAACTCCTCCATGTCACTCTCTCTTTCTCGCTGCCTGCCTGCTTTGACTGCAGGATTTGTGGGGCTTGGAGCTGGAAACACCACGGCTGGTGGGTTTAGTTTTGGGGGGTTTGGTTTAAATGCCAACCCAGCTGCAATCAGCTTTAATGCAGGGTGCTTCTGTGCAGCAACCACTGCAGGCACTGTATTCAGTTTTGGTAATAGTCTGGCTAGCACAGGTAGATGACCTCTGTGGTTAAGTACATTTTGTGTTTGTAAAAATCATTTTTAATTGTTTCCATCCACCGTCACCTGGTACAATGATTTTCTTTTTTCCATCCCTCCTGGTGATTCTTATTCGTCCTCTCACAAGTTTCATTGCATTTGCATGACAGACTGTTAAATTTTGCACTAGTCTCAATTACGACAGAAAATTGAGTACTGGTACATTTTCACCTTTTGTGTTTTACAGAAATCCATGCTAGGTGGAACTCATTTAATACTTTTTCCTTGTCAGTTAACTCAACATTTTTATATAAAGATGCTTTTGTTCTATATACTTTATGTCTGGTGTTTTTTTTTTTTTTACTGTTTTATGTTTTTTCCTCACTTCTTTTATCAAAGTGGTCATTGTTGTTGTCTTTGTTTCCCAGGAACATTTGGTGGCTTTGGGACAACTACAACAAGTGCTGTAGCACCAGGGTCAACATTCAGCTTTGCTACCCCTTCGAATACAACAGGTCAGTCAGTGTGAGAGAAACGTCCAGTTTGTGGGGAATCCAGATTTTAGAGGGAACTCTTATTAAAGCACAGTTTGATAACCTTTAAGTCGGGCTAGCTTGAAAATGTGAAGGAATACAAGTTGTCAGCGACTCCCCTCCTTGCTGTGCTTCCATCGATGATATTCGACTCCCCCCAGCCTTTACAAGTTGTTTTCACTCTGAAATAGTTGATTCTAGCCAATCACATCAGGTGAAGCAGTAAGTGCTTAAGGTAGGTGCTGTTTGGTTGTGTCCACTAGTAGCAGCAGGATCAGTCTGTTCATTATGTTTAATTTGATGAAAGCTTGCTAACAGAGATTGTAGTCATTCTCTCTCCACAGATGACTGTGACGTACAAAAAGACTAAAGGACAGCTATTATCCACAAGCTATCAGATTACTAAACTCTTGATAAATAACACTTAACAACTGGCAATAACTTTGCACCAAGCCACATCTGTGACAACTTATGTGTTTATTATTTATTGCTGCTGCACTATGTGGCTGTATCATGTACGGTACATTATGTATCTGCCTTACCATTATAATTCAACTCAATGTTACTACACAACCTGTGTAGTTTATGTTAGTTATGTGCAGTATATATCATCTGGATTTATCTTATATTACTACCTTGAAATACTTATTCATTCAAATTCATCCTACTTGCACCATTATATTCTACCATGTTGTTGTTTACTATTTGCTCTTTAGGACCTTGTAAACATTTTAATTACTTTTTCACTTTTTGGTACTTTATTTTTTACACTTACTGCATGCTTTTAGTATTTCTTGTTCTTTGTTTTTTAGCGAATCAAATCGGTTCTTCTCATCCTGAGCGTTTCATTGTACTGTTAACCCTGTGATAAACTGCATATGGCAAAAAAACACAACTTGAACTTGAACTCTTAATATGATCGGTTGAGTTGTAAACTGGGAAGGCTTGTTAGTCGGATGCTAATGGAATATCATTGTACAGTTTACATGAAGGGCATATTGCACATCCCTTTCATATTTCTGTTTATATATTTTTAGAGCGCAGACTAAATAATGAGTCTCATCCACATTACAACTTAAGATCATTTGCAGAAATCAAATAAAATCTATAATTGATTGCTGAAAGCATTTTCCCCAAATTTGTTATTAAATATATGTTTTAAAAAAGTCATCAGACATAAATGGATAACAATACTTTAATAATTGCTTAGGATGTTCTGTCAATGTACCCTTTTCATTTATATTTATTATTAAATACTTCATTTTTTGGCTCATTAGCAATGTTTTTACTCTTATTTACTTGCTTGCCAACAACAATCTGGTAAAGTCTTGTTGTAACCCACCAGGGCTGATCTAGTATTTTCTGCTGCAGCAGTTCACACTAGTCTCTTGTTGAAGGTCATCACCATACACAACAAGGTCAGAGCTAATATGGTACTTGGACTGGGGGGATTATTCGTACAAGGCAGTTACATTCCACTGTACTGATAGAAAGTTTGAAGGAGCTTAATTGTAATACAAAATAAATTATATTGTCTAAGTAAATGCAGCTGAAATCTATCTGTAATGTCTTGTACATGGTTGACATTTTAACTATATAAAAATAATAATTATAATCCATCTGCCAGAAATGTGCTGCAGCATGCTACACAGCTGCCACAAGATGTCTCCCTTCATTTACCAAAACATGCAGCTGCACCCTGTTCCTGCAGCGATCCCTCTGCAAAGCTGACAGCTCATTTTACAAGTGCTGCAGCATTTAGTTAGCTTTAGGTACTAATTATTGGTTTGTTTACATGTTGTGCTTTAGGAGGCCTGTTTGGTGCCACACAGAACAAAGGATTTGGATTTTCATCAGGCCTTGGGACTGGAACCACCACTGGAACATCAGGCTTTGGAACCGGATTAGGAACAACCGGCCTTGGTGGGTTTGGAGGTTTTAACATCCAGCCGACGCAACAACAAGGTGAGCGCTTCTGTTTCCAGTTGTTTAACAGTTCACATGCAAAAATTAAAACATGATTATACCAAGCTATGTTCAAACGTTTCAAACCCAACGTACAGGAAGTTACATATTACATATTTATTTAGCTGCTTTAATGTTTGATTCAAAGATGTGGGTGCTTACACATATTCCACAGTTGTAAGGAATTCCTTTAAAAAGTGGCCAACGATCTTGGAGTTTCAATTTCATCTTTTTTTATTGCCAGTAATTCAGCAGTCATTGACTTAAACTGAGGTGTGGGACTACAGATAAGAAAATGTGAGGCAAGAGACAACCTGACGTGTTTTACCTTTCTGCTTCCTGAGCAGGAGGCTTGTTTGGTCAGCAGCCTCAGCTCCAGGGTCAGACTCAGCCCACCCAGCTGTACCAGCAGGTCACCGCTCTGTCAGCCCCGACCCTGTTAGGAGATGAACGGGACTCCATTCTTGCCAAGTGGAACCAGCTGCAGGCCTACTGGGGCACAGGAAAGGGCTACTACAGCAACAATAACCAGCCTGTGGATTTTACTCAGGAGAACCCTTTTTGCAGGTTCAAGGTAAAAGGAAATTATTAGAATTTTTGTTAAGTATTGTTAAATTTAAAATATATCTATATATTTGTCTTGTTGTTCTCTAGGCTGTGGGGTATAGCTGCATCCCAGTAAGTAAGGATGAGGATGGTTTGGTGGTCTTGATGCTCAATAAGAAGGAGGCGGATGTGAGAGCTCAGCAGCAGCAGCTGGTTGAGTCTCTTCATAAAGTCCTGGGAAGCAACCAGACTCTAACTGTGAATGTGGAGGGTGTCAAATCTCTGCCGAATGACCAGTAAGTTTGTACTTTTCAAAAACTTCTCAAGCAGCTTTCGCTGTCACTTTTCTGGATTAGATCATTTAGACATTCTCAACAATTTTTAATTTTTTTTTCATGTCTGACTTTCAGGACAGAGGTGATCATTTACGTAGTGGAGCGTTCCCCTAATGGCACCTCCAAGAGGATCCCAGCTTCCACCCTCTTCAGCTGTCTGGAGCAGGCCAACATTAAGGTTCAACTCACACAGATTGGAGTGGTCATGTCAGTCACACGCACAGAACTCACCCCTGCTCAGCTCAAACAGCTGCTGCAGAACGCTCCTGCAGGTAAATATGGTAGCTGTTGCGTGTTTATGAGCACACATTGGTGTGGTTTCTGTGGTGGCCTTAAAATGGAATTACATTTGAATAAAAAAAATCATAACATTTGAAAAAAAACGGAATCACATTAGAAAAAACGGAAATACATTTGAAAAAAACGGAAACACATTGGAAAAATTAAGATAGTGAATAATAATAATAATAATAATAATAATAAAGAAAATAAAAAAAACTTCCTGTTTGGCTTAATGTAATTCAGTTTTTTTCAAATGTAATTCTGTTTTATTTTTTTTTTCTAATGTGAGTCTGTTTTTTTCTAATGTAATTCTGTTTTTTTCAAATGTTGTTCATTTACACCTTACAGCCACTGTAGATTTCCATGGTAGATAAGATGTTGTTTGTCTTCACTCAACAGGAGTGGATCCAATCATCTGGGAGCAGGCAAAGGTGGACAACCCTGAACCTGAGAGGTTAATTTGTGCCAGACATACACACCTTAGGCGTCGCAACCATTGTATGTGAAGGGGACAAGTCCCCACCCCCCACATTAAAAAAAGTTCATTTGGACCCCCCCCCCCACTTTTACTATGAAACATTGGTTCAGGCGGCGCAGTTTCTCTTTCTTCGTGAACAAATCCATTCCACTTGATTAATAGGAGAATACTCAATCTAATACAACTCCACCCCAGGTTTTCCAGGTTACCTCCACCTCTACACACAGAGCAGAAACTGTGCAGGCAGCCGCTGCCGAGTCTCCTGCTTCGGTAGAAAACACGCACAGGTGCAGGAGATGGAGACACCTCTGTGTTGCTCACTCGCCAGTTTAGCAGTTTAGTGCGGGCAGTTGTTGACCAGGGGGGTTGATCATAAACATGTATTCATGTTAGGAGGATGCTTGAGTGCAGCGCTACGTCTGTAGCATGTTAGCTTAGCAGTAACTGTGACGCTGTGAGAAGCTGCAGGTGTAAGAGACGCTGTGTGTTCAGGTGCATTAAAGTTGAAATGTCTTTAAAACCCCACACCTTATTGTCCTCAAGCTTCATTAGAAACATCATTTAGAAGAGGAGTGTTGAACCCAAGTAAAAATGTCTAGTGGTGATGTTTTTATTTCTCTATAAAGACAAATAGTGCCGATCTGACGCTCTGTATTAAAGTGTATTAAAGTTAAAATGTCTCTAAAACCCACAGCTGAATTTACACAAACTTGGTGAGAAATATGCTTTAAATGTGTGGAATTAAAGCAAATCTAGGTGAAATGTTGCTTTTTTTTTGTACATTAGTGCACATTTCTTTTGCGCACACGCACACACATCGTTGTGTCCCCCCCACATTACGGATGCTTCTGACGCCCTTGACACACACACACACACACACACAATGATTGCTGACAAAGTAAAATTAAAACAATTAAACATCTATTGTCACAACTGATTTTTTTTTAATTATTATTTTGCTCCAGATTGATCCCTGTGCCCATGGTTGGTTTTAAAGAGCTGCTTCGCAGACTGCAGATCCAGGAACAGATGACTAAACAACACCAGACTAGAGTGGACGTGAGTAAAAATATCTCTGCTGCTGCTGTTTCTAGTTTTAGCAGGGGAAAGCAAAAAACGGGCACAGAGCAGTTTGATTATCAGCGAAGGAATTTTTGACACATTTTTGTGGCATCAAGGACGGCACAGATGTCCAGTTGGTACTCGGTGCCAACACTTGTTTTAATCTGTAATTATTAGGAATTCCACTGCAAGTAGCAAGAGCAAATGGGTTTCACAGATTGTTTTTACTTGCTAAAAAAAATTAATGAGTTGGAAAAAAATTACTTTTGGCTCAAATGTTATTTCTTAAAAAATGTAATGAGATAGCTTTAGGCATGTAAGACAAGATACTTGTAACACTACACAAATATTTTATCATTTACACAGTTGTCTGCCATTTAATGCGATGGCATTTTAACAAAATTATTAAACAAAATCAATCAAGACAAATATGTAAGGATTGTTGTATTTGTCCACCTGTGCACCTGCAGATCATCTCAAACGACATCAGTGAGCTGCAGAAGAACCAGGCGACAACTGTGGCCAAGATCGCTCAGTACAAGAGGAAGCTGATGGATCTCTCCCACAGGGTGCTGCAGGTACTAAAAGTCCTTATTAAACATGGACTTCATTTTTTTAATTGTCAATTTAATGTTTTTGTTATCTGCCCTCATGTTTAAATAAGCACAACTGGCTAGGCCTGTCGCGATAAACAATAAATCAGTTAATCACATGATAAATGAAAATTATCGACCTCATTTTCTTTTATCGGCTTTATCGTTTCTTCGTGTCTCTCACTTTCTACTGAAGACACTGGATGACAAAAGGCTCAACTCCGGTGCTCTTCACTGACCCCTCCCTTTCTCTTTTTTCTTTAAAATCCGTTTTAACGATCCGAAATCACGCTTTTGGATCGTTAAAAGCAGCTAAGCTGAGAAGCTAAGCTACAAGCTAAGCTAACAGACCGACCTCAGGAAAAAACGTCTCTTTTGTCAAAGCTCCAAAATTCACAGTTGAAACTCGTGCCTTCGTCTAAAAAGTTGTTTTTCTCTGCAAAAAGAAGCTGAGAACTTGTTTACTGATTTTCTTATTAAAAGCTTTGTGTGATAAATGCTATGCTAAAGAGCTCAAACCACACCGAGCGTCCTCCATTTTGAGAACGGAAAAACAGGAATGAGAGACAGCCCATGTCACGTCAAGGGGCCTCCCTCCCATTTTTCTTAAAGAGACACGCTGCTCGCTCCCTCGCTATCCATCCTTAGGTTCAAACAGTCTTATACTGCCAATTATGTGTCTTTCACGGCGCTGCAGAGCCGTTTCGTTTTGTTCACAGGCAGTTCATTGTCAATGCTGACTGGCTGAATAAAGTTTGAAAAATAAAACTCTGCAGCGCGAGTTGAGTGGTCAAAAACGGTACTACACACAAAAATGAAACATTTCTTCTTAAATTTGATAATTACTAATTACTGTTAAATTTCAAACAATATTATCGTTTATCACAATAATTTCTGAGACAATTAATCGCCCAGCAAAATTTGTTATCGTGACAGGACTGCAACTGGCATTATAACTGCAGAACCAGACCAGTTATAGGTTGTATAAAACTTCAAAAATCTAAAATATCATGTGCAGTAGTTCTCTGCAAAGAAATAAATGATGTAAATGACCCAAAGCTGACGTTAAAACAGGTCAACCATGCAGCAGTCTTACATATTTAATCTCTTCGAGAAGATTAACGTCGTTTGGTTATGATCCATTCTGAATTTTTCTCCTTCTTCCACGAATAGCTAAATGTGATGAATACCATCTGTTTGTTTCACTGAATGACCTGGCACCATCTGAGTGTTCTTCAGCTGTGGTCCAATAAAACTGACATATTTCTCGTTTTTCTGAAAGGTACTGATCAAACAGGAGATTCAGAGAAAAAGTGGTTATGCAATCCAGGTGGACGAGGAGCACCTCAGGGTGCAGCTGGACACTATTCAGTCAGAACTCAATGCCCCCACGCAATTCAAGGCAAGTGTGTTTAACCTGCAGCAGCGTTGTTCACGCTCAGTAAATGCTTGATTTTTTAGAAAAGTAGATCTAGAACAAAGATACAGCCTCTTTTATAAACTTTAAGTGTATGTTTTAGTAAATAAACACTTGGTTGAACAGTGAATCTAAACCAGTGTTGTTCTACTACTGTTGGATGCTTTAAATGTGATTTATTTTTAATTTTAGTCTTGTGTTTCTACACAGGGCCGGTTGAATGAATTGATGTCCCAGATTCGAATGCAGAACCACTTTGGAGCTGTGAGATCAGAGGAGCGCTACAGCGTTGATGCAGACCTTCTCAGAGAAATCAAACAAGTGAGTCACATTTTTTCTTGTTTACATGATAAAATAAGCACCTACAGTTTGTGGATTTGTATCCAGATCCTAACACATTGCAGCCAAGGTGTTTCATAGGCTTTCTGAATCATCTCGCTCTGGTTTTAAAATGTTGCTTTTTGAGTTTTCTCAGTTGTAACTAACATCTTTCATTCACATCATTTAGACACAACTCAAGTTATTGTAATTTGTCACCTGTTTGTTTATTTACCCCACACCTTCAGCATTTGAAGCAGCAGCAGGATGGCTTAAGTCACTTGATCGGCGTCATCAAAGAAGACTTGGAGGACATCAAACTCATTGAGCACGGACTGAGCGACGGTGGCCACATGAGAGGAGGCATGCTGAGCTGAACGTACATTAGACCCTCCAGCAGCCTGAAAAATGACACACTTTTACACCCAGACCAGTAAATGTAACCATCACAAGGCTTCACTTGGAGGAAGAATCTCTGAACAGACTTAAAGGATTCGTTTGAAATTTCATTCATTTGCATTTTTTTTTTTGTCAATAAAATAAAGTTTTATCCCTACA